CCACCGCTCCCACCACCACCACTACCACCTCCACTCAACCACTCCCCAACTTCCCTTACCTCCTACTACTTCCCTCTATCCCATCTGGCCGGCTCCACCACGCTCTTTTGGCCGGGGGGTTGTGGAGAGTTCAGTAGCCTTTCTTGCTAACGATGCCCCCCTACCCACGCACACACACACACACACACACACACACACACACACACACACACACACACACACACACACACATCTTCCTGCGAACACATACACTCTCCTCTTCAGAGACCAACTGCTGCTCCAATCGCTGGGCCCCTCTGGCTGCCCCTCACTGGGGAGAAAGCCCAACCGACACCTTCCTCTTCCCACATGCTACACGCCGCTGGCTGGCTGGCTCACCGGCTGGAAAACCGAGGCCCCCCCACATTCTGCGTTCCAGGCACTCCCCTTAACCCCCCCTCACAAAAAACACACACACATACAGTATGTTGACAGCACATCAGCGTTAACGTTTTGGTTAAAGGATGAATTTGGTTTATTTGAATTCTTAAAGTTATGACCCTCACTCTTATCAGTCAATATAACTTTGCACTGAGTAACCTTTATGCTTGGATCTGCGAATGCGATGACGCTGCTAAAAAATAAGTGAAATACAAAAAATAAAAACGGACTTCCTGGTTCAGATCTGGCCTTCAGTATTTCAGGCACCAGTACAGTCAGATTACTGTTGCTTTGTGAACATAGGTTTCCTGTGTAATAAGGGATTATTACCAACGTTTTGGGTGTGCTCGCTGTCTGTTTCATCCCAAAATACAGTGATTTAGGTCCTCTCTAAATTGTTGGCTCATTTAAAGCCTGTTGCCTGATCACCAGTTTTTCTTGGCCTCACACGGTTATGCTTTTGCGACGTTGTTGTGTTCCCAGATCTCAAAAACTCCCAATAGTGGACATACCTATGAAAAGAAAACCTAAGTTATAATCAACCCGGATTTTGTTGCAATGGTTAGAGTGTAGGGAAAGTAGATATGACTTGATCTTTTTAGCTGTAATCTTAGGGGTTTTCAAAATTGTTAGCTGTTTGCAATCACATTGAATTTTTAAAGTAATTTGAGTGGTACTAAAAAAGTATTAAAATGTAATTTGCTGTGATAATCCTCAATTATATAAAGTATTTGACCAAAAAGGCTCAAAACTTTTGAATTTGGAGCCAAAGTATGTGTCAGTTTGAACCGCACATTATTACAATGCTTGTGGTTGGCTTTTTAAGGATTTTTCTTTGAGATGGAAGATGGCAAAAAAACAAAAACAAAAGAACAAGCATGGTGATTTAATCCTCACAGTTACAGTTACAAGAACTCGTTTCAGTGTTGGAATAAACAGATTGCTCAACGGCTGGTTCAAGGCCTTGAGTTGGCACCAACCAAATGACTCTGCCGTCCTGCCTCATGTTATGCAAGGCCGCTTTAGCACTGATGTTCCTAGTGATTGATTGACCATTTAAACTGAGTGGATTACTAACTAATGGTTTCCAAATTCATCCATGCTCTCCGGATGCTAATGGTAAAGTAAAAGTAAAATAGTGTAACTTCAGCTCTTTTGAATTGGTCCCAAAATTCAAGCGGACGGTTTGTTAGGATTACGATCCAAGTAGGTCTTTGGATATCCTTGAGTTCTGCAACTTTCTAATAATTTTGAACTCAAAAGAATGAAAATTCCCAGAATAAAGCTTCCTATCTGTCATTTGAAATGCGTGGAAGATGATAAGGGCCAAAAGTGAATTTTATTTTCCACTTCTTAGCAAAAAGTCTAACACAATTCTGAATTTATTCGCAAAGCTAAATCAAAATTCAAAATAACATGTGGCCCTACTGCTCAAATTAATTTCACATGTGACTCTAATGGTCTTCCGTAGATATGGGATACAAGTTGAATCCATGAGTATAGCTGAAAGCACGCCATTGTTCGCGAAGATGATTTGTCCTTATACCAAAGCCAGTGCGTTTTGTAGGTGTTTTACGTTTACGTGTGTCTAGTTAGTCATTTGTCCGGCACCAGCTGAGAACCTGTTACTGCTTTGCGGTTTAGAGGTGCCACAGGCCTAAATAGATGAACCCTTCACAGGTTGACCAACATGTTTGTTTTGTGCAGAACAACCTGTCGCAGCGAGGTGTGGGAACAAGGTTGCTGTTTATCTTTATTTAGCTTCAGAGTCCTTGCCACACTCATGGTCACATTTGAGAAGGATGTTAGTGTGGATCCATCTGCTCACGTAATTAAGAGGTAAAAGTATATATATCTGCGTGTCATATACGTTTGTATACACATACGAGTGAATCCAGCGCATTCAAAGCACGTTAGAAGCTGCCTGTCACAGTCAGATGGCGTGTCGTGCTGGCTCTGCTTGTGCAGCGCCTGTGTGCGTCACAGGGAGATAAAGAAGAAGAGCGAGGGGGCGACATACGCATTTTCCTGTCCCCGGCGCAAGCATCAGTTGAGATGGTGAAATGTTTAGCCTTAGCGCTGTCTCTCAGTGTTTCCGCCCACTTGTAGCAGACTTGCCATAAGGGATTTCCTGCACAACATCTATTGCTCAGCAAATGTGAGTGACAATGAAGGCCTGTTTCGATACAAACAGAGCAATATGGCAAGCCTGACGAGACAGAATTCTGTGTCCTAGTTCTTTATACATCTTGTATGGCCTGGGCTGGTTTGTTGTCCCAGTACAAGAACAAACATGTGCTTGTGAGTACGTCACTCATAGAAACCATGGTTGTCCTTTTGTTGACTTTACTTTGTTCTCCACTTAGTGTCAGTGCCATGTTGCACTTCGGTTCACCTTTTGGTTTTGAATGTGATTTACAAGTGGGCCCATCCTTGTTGAACTGCTTTGTTTATGCCTGTCAGTCTTGCCTGTGGTCATGCATACGTGTATTTACAGTGCTGTGTACACATGCATGTTTGTATTTTGTGTGTGTGCATGCGTGTGGTGTTTGTCATGTGCTGTTGTGAGTGTGATTGTTTGCCTGGGCTCCTGTCTGTCTGACAGTGCAGTGTGTCTGAATGTTCCTGTTTCAAACCCCCCCCCCCTCCACCTCCTTCCTCTTCCTCTATCCTTCTCTCTGTCTCCTGCTCTCCCACTAACCCTCAGCTTCTCTCTCCCTTTTTCTATCACCCTTTCACTCTCTCTCTCTCTCTCTCTCTCTCTCTCTCTCTCTCTCTCTCTCTCTCTACTCTCTCTTCTCTCTCTCTCTCTCTCTCTCTCTCTCTCTCTCTCTCTCTCTCTCTCTCTCTCTCTCTCTCTCTCTCTCTCTCTCTCTCTCCTCTTCCCTCTGCAATAACAGTGCTGACCTAGTTTCTGCCTGTTCAGGGCTGCCTGTGGAATTTTACAGCGGCCTGCCTTCCTGGCTGCTTTGCTGCTTGAAAACGCAAGCAGAAAAGCATGACTGAGGATTTTTCTTCTCGTCGCATCATTATGGCCTTATACCGTCTCCGTTCTGCTCCCCAATCTGCAGACCTAAATAAATGAACCCGTTTTGAATAAGTAATAACAGCAAATTGCCTTTCGGGCGAGAATCTGCAGTTATCTTATGTACGGTGAATTTGTAGCAGAACTGCATGCGCCCTCATGGCGGGCGAATTAGAATGGAAATGAGAATGGCCTGTCGCTCATCTTCCACAGCTTAGCTGAGATTGTGCCGGATGCAGAAGGCAGAAAAACACCCCTTCTCTGTGCACATGCATGCAATCTCCCTCCCTTCTCCTCTTCCCCTCTTTCCTTCCCTTCCGCCCTCACAAATAAATGGTTAGAGTCATGCCCGGCAAACACTGGCCACTGCCAGGAATGGCTAACAAGCCTCTTGCTCAAACAGCGAGAGAGTGGGACTATTTTTACGTGCTTTTCGGGCCACGGATCTAAGTCAACACTCTATTCTGAGAGAATCTTGATTAAATCTGAACGCCTTCCAATTAGGCAAAGGGAATGTTGTGTCACAGCCGAGAGAGATGGATCTCTGGAATGCCTTTCTGAAGGCTTGGTTGTGGCACGCTGAAATCTAAACCAGCACTGCCGCAGATTCATTCCTCCCCCCTACCCTCTCCCTCCTTTCACCATTCCTGGCTGAGCCGTTAGAGTTCAGTTTTGCTGGGGCATTCGGTTCACTTTCTCAAAAGTGTTCCACAGGCATCATGGCTGCTACTGCAAAAGCTTTGGATGTAATTATTTGCTTCATGTCGATATAAATGTAAGTGTCGTACATTTCTCTGAAGAAGTTCATAAAGCTAAGACATATTTTCTGATTTCTCTTTCAGATTTCGGGGGCTGGTCATGGTGTCCGGTGAAAAGGTGTGGGACCCCCTCCACACGGGCCTTATTCAGTCACGTCTGAGTGAACAACACCTGGCTGCTGGGCTAACTCCCCTCTGCAAAATCACACACAGTGCAATTAAGGACACCACGTGCCAACAGAGTCGGCGGTTGTCACCTTTGTCTTCCCCGTCACCGCCATTAGTGGCTGGAGACACCCTTCAACCGGCCCGGGACTCCTCACGCCTGCCTGTCAATTTCCACGGCTCAAGCAAGATCGAAGGATTTTACAAACAAGTCCACTGTCTTGGAGGGGCCTCTCATTCTGAAGAAGAGGAGGAAGAGGAAGGGGAACCGGTGGAGATGAAGGGTAAAAGGCACGTAGGCCGGGGAGAGGCCATGATGGAGGACAGGCTGGAGGACATGGCCGACGGACCTAAAAATGCAAAAATCACCCTAAGCTTCCCACTTAGTGCCGCCCCCCTCCCAGCCTCCCTCACATCTCCGAACCACTGTCGTAGCTCTTCCTCGTCCTCCCCTTCCCCTCACCGAAGGCGGCCATCTTCCAAGAGCTCGGACGAGGGGTCGCTGTGGAAACTGGATGCTACCATGGACGTAAAGCACAGGCCTTTTAAGCCCCCGAGGCGCGACAGCTCTCCGTCCTCCTCGCCTTCCTCCTCCTCATCTCCCATGACTGTTCATGCACTTAGCAGGAAAGATATAAAATCCCCGCCTCCTCTGAAGTGCTCCAAACTCAATTCAGAGACTCAGTTCCACAGGTCTCCCCCGAGATCTTCGGGCTGTTACGGCGGAGACGGGTGGGACGAGAGGCACAGGGTAACCAACAGCACCGCCTCCCCCTCTCAAACGGCCCAGATCCTCTTCAGTCTGGGCACGTCTGCCTATCAGAGAGGAGGGGATACAGAGAGGAGAGAAAAAAGACCAGCTGGGAAAGTGGGAAGCCCTCACGGACCAAGTCTTCACCCGCCCCCCCTGCACCTCCCTCCACCCTTACCGCCTCCTCCTCCTCCCCCGTCGGAGGATCTTACCGACCCCCCTCACTCCTCATCCTATCCCCCCACAGCCAGCCTGAAGCCCGAGCTGATTTGCGGTGTGTGCCATCGGCTTTTCAGCTCGGCCTCCTCCCTGACAGTCCACATGCGGCTGCATCGTGGGAGCCGCGCCCTCAGTTGCCGCTTCTGTGGCAAAGTCTTCATCCACAGCAAGAGACTGCAATCCCATGAGTCCTCCTGCCGGGTGCCAGGCCTTCCCTCCAACAACCTGGGCCCCCCTCCTCTCACTGTGCAGCCAAAGGAGGAGCCGCTGGAGGAGGGCGAGGTGAGAGTGGAGGGGGGAGTGATCGTGGGACAATCAGAGATCGGAAAGGTGCGGCAGGGGAAGAAAGCCCGGAGCCTCCTGGCACGTATCCAAGGTGATGATGCAGCAGCCGCAGAGCTACTAGCAGGTGATGAGCACCATTTTGTGAAGGTGGTAGACGGCAATGTCATTTACTTCTGCTCCGTGTGTGAGCGCTCCTACATGACTCTCTCCAGCCTGAAGAGGCACTCTAACGTACACTCGTGGCGACGCAAGTATCCGTGCCACTTCTGCGACAAGGTCTTCGCCCTGGCAGAGTACCGCACAAAGCACGAGGTGTGGCACACAGGAGAGCGCCGCTACCAGTGCATCTTCTGCTGGGACGCCTTTGCCACCTACTACAATCTCAAAACACACCAGAAGACCATCCACGGGATTAACCCCAGCCTCATCTCCAGCGAAAAGACAGCCAATGGGGGTTACAAGCAGAAAGCGAACGCACTCAAGCTCTACCGCCTTCTCCCCATGCGCTCCCAGAAGAGACCCTACAAGACTTACAGTGACAGTTTGCATAATGGCCTGCTTCTGCCACCAACTGAGACACCTTCCCTCTCCCTGCCCGGCTTAGGCTGTGCTCTGGGCCCTGAGGACCTCCAAAGCCTCATCAGCGGGGCCCACCCTCAGAGTGTAAAGCCTGACCCAGATGACTTCCCTAATGGCTTTCCTGTTTCCGTGTCCGCTGAGGACGAGGACCTCTCTGAACTAACACCCCTCCCCCAATCGGACATGCCCCAAGTTAGAAAACATGACAGTGAGGCCCTGGAGTTAGAGCAGGGGAGAGGCAGCTTCAAAATGTCTAGTAGCAGCAAAACCAAAACTCCCAAAACTGATAGAGGCTCAGAAACAAGCATGCCTTCTGTGATAACATATGGCCACACGAAACCCTCTGTGATAGTTCACGGAACAGCAGTGTCATCCTCCGTCATCATGCATAGCAACCAGGTCACCTCTGGGAGTGAAAAAAGCCCAGTGAGCAGCCCGTCCCCTGAAACCAGCAGCAGTTCACACAAAAGCATTCCCAGATCATTCAAAAGACAGCGAGATAGCGTAGATAGACACAGAAAGAGGTCAAGAGACAGTTCAGATACAACAGAGGAGGACTCGAGAGGTAGACAGGGTGCGGAGACGGGCAGATTATCTCACAAATCACGGAAATCCCACAGCAAGAGCGACATGTCGAACTCAAAGCTGCTGTCAGCGTCTGTAGGGTCACAGGTCAAAGAGGCTGGGCCATTGTGCCAGATTACTGTACGTATTGGCGAAGAAGCAATAGTGAAGCGCAGCATCTCCGAAACAGACCTTAGGAGAGACAAGAGCCACTCTCCTCCCAAAACCAAACGGGGTGACACGTCATCAGTGCGGGATGCCAAGGACACACGCCACTCACACTCCCACCACCATCACCATAAACACCGCCCCCACCGCAGAGTGGAAGAAGAGGGTGATAAGGAGGGAGGAGATTGTGAGGAGGAGGCAGAGCGAAAGAGCTCCAAATCGCCCGATGAAGTGAGGGAGTACTACTTCCGAAGGGAGGTGCGTCATCAGGAGAGTGACCACGATGAAGAGGATAATTTATGGCGGCCTTACTACTCCTACAAGCCTAAGAAAAAGGCCCAAGCACATCTACAGAGGGTCAAGAGCTGGCAGAGGAAACTGAAGTTCAAGCGCTCCATCCGGTTGAAGAGGAGGACGGATAGAATCAAGAACCATGTGAGTAAAGAAACGGAGAAGTCACAAGACGACGAAGAACAAGAAGAAGAAGAAGAAATGGAGGAGGCTGAAAAAGTGTCGAAATCTAACAGAGACATGGGAGAGGGGAAAAAGAAAGATGATCTCTTTGCCCCGTTAAAGGAGAAAAACAAAGAGGCAGAGGAACAAGTTACAGCGGCCCGTCAGGAGGTTTCCACTCCTCCTCTGCACTCTCCAAAGCCTCCCCCATCTACCCCAGCGGCTCCTACGGGAATAAAGAGGCGGCCTTGGACCAATGGGAACGCAGCAGAGTGTGGAACATGCGGCCGCTGGTTCTCAAGCCCCAGGAAGCGAGACAAACACGAGCTGAACCATCTGCTGGAGTTTGTGTGCCTCTTCTGCCGGGCCACTTTCCCCTCAAGGGATAAGTTGGAGGACCACCAGAGAGCCCAGCACCCCAAGCCTGCTGAAGCCCCCACCGTACCCCACAACGAGGAACGTGGCCAACAAGTTGAACCTGGGCCAGAGATTGCAAATGAAGAAAAAGGGGCGCAAATAGGGAGGAATTCAAGTCCGAGTCGCCTAAGCAGAAGAGCGCTATCACGACACACCTGTCCGCAGTGTCACAAGGTTTGCAAGACATCTTCAGCGCTAACTCGCCATATCCGACGACATGAGTTAAGCAGTTCCCCAGAGAGAGAAAAGGAAGATAAAGCTTCATCGCCAAAGACGACTGAGACAGTTGTTAACACTGTCAGCAGAGACCTAGAGACAGAAAAAGGCCCCAGTGCTCTCTCTGTGTCAGTTATCAGCTATTTAACACCAGACCCGCCCAGCAGTACTGACTCTGTGGCTTCACGGCAGCGTGAAGACCCCCTCAGTGAACCCACACGTGAACATCACATGTCAGAATCCGGTGACAAACCTGAGCTCACACATCCGGTTCTAGAGAGAGAGCCCAGTCCAGACCCTCCATTAGAAAGCCCAGTAACCCCTACTCCCGCTAAATTCCCGCCTGCCCCACCCTCTACTCTCCAGAGTGTGCTGGTCATGAATGGACCTGAATGTCTGGACTACCGCACCCCCGGCAAAAAGAGCCTAGACAGCCAGATCCACAGAATACCCAGCCCTGTGCACATCGTGGCATCCAGCAACACCTCTCAAAATGTGCCCACAACGTCACAGACCAGAATAACCACTGCTGCTCCTCCTGTTTCCATGACAACAGCTCTCAGCTCCGAGGGGGGATTTATGAAACGGGATGGGGTCATTATGGACAGAGAGAGGCAGGGCGGGAGCGGGATATTTCGTCACGTGGTTTACGAGGAGCCCCCTCGGGTCCAGGATCTCAGAGTTCAGTCGCTGTCCAGGAGTCCCTCTCCCGACGAAGCACAAGACCTGACCATGTCCTCCATTCTAGCAAGAGAGAGGGAGATAGAGAGGGAGAGACAGAGAGAAAGGGAGAGGGAAAAAGAGATGGAGAGGTCCCGTCAAATAAGTAGAGAGATTTCAGATTTCCAGATTTCTCTGTTGGTCCCTAAAGAGGAGCCCTTGAGCCCTGTGCCGTCCCCCCAGCATATCCCCCCTCAAACCACTATGAACGGATCTTTGTCACACAGGCACACTCCCAAATCCCCCTGCCGGTCCCCCTCAACGATTGGCCTCATAGCTCAGGCCAATCGCCAGGTTCACTCCAGTTCACAAGGCCTCGACAGACTCCCCCTGCCCACTGGAGCAGCTGGTGCCTGTGAGCGCCCCTCCGCCCACGCTCTGCTTCTCCCCCGGGCCCCTCAACCACCTGAGCCGGAGCACCACGATACCGTATCTTCCAGAGATAGGGACGCCCCCCCAGTGGGCTACCATTCCCATAATTACCCCCTGCCCCTTATTGTGCCGGACAGCTACCACTCCAGTAAAAACCAGGAGGAAAACCTGCTCATGTCCTCCTATCCTGCTGGAGCTCTTCCTTTCGGCCCACTGGGGAAAATGATGGTCCCGAGTGGCGGGGACTTGGCTAAGCTGCCGTTTTATCCGGACCCTTACCAGCTACTCTACGGACACCAGCTGCTGGCCTACCCTTACAACCTGGCTGCTCTTCCTGTGACTCTGAACATGATGGCACCTGGGGGGGACAAAGTGGAGCCTCTGCCTTTCCTCCCGGCCATCTTCAACTACGCAGCCACCGCCGGCCCCTACATGGGAGCAGCCCCTCACCAGTTTATGGCAAATCCAGGGCTCTACAGCAGCAGCAGCAGCAGCAGCAGTGGCGGCGGCAGCAAGAAGCCGCGAGACAGCAGCAAACCGTAGGACACAGAAGCACTCTTGAGGAATATATTTCAGTGGTGACGGCCTGGCCTGTTAAGGGTGGGATGGGAGGGGAGGGGTGGGTGCTCACTGGGTCACTGAGTACACTCGCACAGCATCCCTGCCTCTCTTTCAATGAGTGGAGATCAGAGCTAGGCATTACATCTGGAGTAGGATGAAGGGAGGAGAAGGAGCAGGGAGAGGGGCTGGTGTTCTAGTGACGTATCCCCTCTCTTTACTCCCGCTCACCTTTCTCAGCGTCTCTCCTGTCTTGCTGTAGTGTGTCGTAGTTCTAGAGCTTGATTAATCTTCCTCTCTGACTCATTATATTATCAATAACAATAAGAACTGCTAACAGGGTGTGTGTTGTGTGACACATTAGTTGATTCTGCTTCCCTTTATAGCCACCATGTTACAAGGATAAACAGTCTTCAGGGAAGGCTTGTGGATGAGATCAGGATAAGGGATGAAACAGAATAGTCCTTACTCAACACAGCTGGCCGTGGAGTGTTAAGCATCCTTATTTGTATGAGTGAATGAGAATGAAGGTGTATTCTGTCGTTAAATTGTCCATGACAATATGTACATGCACATGCGAGCAGGAATGTGTGCATGCGGAGGTGGGCCTTAGCAGGTATGACTGTGTACACTTTGAAGTGTGTGTGTTTTGGAGTATGTGTGTGAGTGCCTAGATCATTCCGTGTGATACTTGCACAGCATTCCTCCGATTTGGAATGGCTGCTGTGGGTCAATGTGTAGAAGTGCATTTAGAAGTGATTCTTCATATCCAAATCATTAAGAAGTAAATGCTATGGCTGGATGCGAGTCTATGACAATGACAGATCATTTGAGCTTCTAATGTCTCGACTAACCTGGCGACTTGGGGGCCAAATGGCACTGTAGGATCTTTATAGCATTCACCATAGTTTTTATATTATGTGCACAAAAATAGAAAAAGTAGAGGTCACTTTATGGGGACACTTGTAGCTGCTTGGGATATGTAGCTGGCCACTGGGTTAGAAAGAAAGGCTGGTAGGCCATTGCACTTCCGCTTCTCATCTCATTTCCTTCATGTAAAATAAGGAAAAGAATACAAACCAGTCAGCCTTCATCTTGCATAGCTTTTTCCTCTTTGATTGGAAGAGAAAAAGGCTCCATTTCCTAAGCCAGAAAGAAGAAAGTGACAGCAAGGAAGGAAAAAGACAAATGGATTCAGGGTATTTTCTGTATAGGAAAAGAATATATGGGCACAAAACTGTTGGACTCTTGAGTCAGAAAGACCCACAGAAATGACTTTGGGGACAAAAAAACGTCCTGCTCCCCAACCGAGGGGACTTAGGGGTGTTGGGAATAGCCTGGGCTATTTCTCCTCCTTCCCTTATTACTAAAAGGTAGGAAAAGGCTGAGCTTAGCAGCCAAAGCGGTGGCCGAAACCCCCCCAGGTGCCCTCCTGGGGCCTTTTTTGTTTTACGTGTAATGTTATCTTTATATGTTTGTTTTGTTAAACTATGTTGTTGTTTATGTTGTTTAGCCCTCTTACCAGATGGAAATGGCTTCAGTGAAAAGGGCGAGTAAACTTTAAAATATGAATGTAAATGTAGTCATGAGGTTAATGAAGTACAGCTGCATTAATGGTAGAGATGGTTCCTTTTTTTCTCTCTTTTGACACGAATAACCTGTTAAAGAAACCGTATAACGTCTGGTATGCATATATACAGTAGTCCTAGGAACATGTCAGTAAACTTGGGTTCTGTATCCACAAAGCATGAGCATCACTTGCTTCCTAACCGTTTATATCCTCAGCAGATCTGGCATTGTGCGCACAGCTTTTGTTTCCGTTTCCTTCCTCTGGAGATATTTCTGGCCTCTTCATCCTCATACCTTTTTCTCATTTTTTTTTGTATTCATTGTAGACAATTCCATAAAAACATGGGGCCACATTTACTTCTCACAGTCACTACTTAGGAGAATTCTCCTTCTTCCCTCAAACACACACTCGCACACCTCTGAATGAAGTGCATATGTTTCAGTGTGTGTGCATGTGTGATGGTACTCTGGCACCTTTTGGATCAGACAGGAGTGTTCAAACACATTGTGACCAACTGCAGGGGTGCACAAGCATCCCCCTTGGGTGTGGTTACAAGCCTTTTGCGGGTAGCCGTACGTACGTGTTTTGTGTACGAGAGTGAGTGCCTGTGCGAATATGAAAACCAAATTAAATCTGCCGGAGCAGCAGACCCCTTGGCAGTATATGGGCCACTTGTTCTTTTTTTATTTTCCTGTGGGTTAGTTTCAGTGTAAAAAAGCCTTGCTGTCTCCAATACACTATCTCAAGCCATTCCTTATAGATGGACATGTTTGTGTTTTGGACCATTTCTTATGCCATAGTTTGCCATCATGGTTATCATACAAACCAAAAGCATGCAAATCGACGTATTGTAGTGACCGAACTGGAATCTGGTGGCAATATAAGACTATTCACTGTATGTTTTCGTTTTTAATGAATGTGCCTCTGCTTTGATATTTAAATAATTATCTATAGTATGATGTGAATCTGCCAGATTTCAACTGTTAAGGTGCCTTGTTATGGCATAAGAAATATGAATAGTAAATGAAGCGCTTTCTTGAGAAATGACGAAGAGTTGGAGATAGATTTCATGGCTTTATTTGCTATGAAGCTGTTCATAGACGTAGGGGTGTGGCTAAACTGTTTTGGTATCGTGTACATGTCTAGGGTAATACTGTGCCATATAGAGCCTACAAAATATGTTAATGTTATTTTTAAAAGATGTTTTAATGTTGCCTGATGACTTTGTCTTTAGATTTGATACAAAGGCTTGTAGCCACAGCTCTCCCAAAGTCTGTAGTCTCCTTTTTCCGACATTCTTCCTGTTCTCTCTCTTTCCCCCTTGTTTCCGTCTCTCCCTTCCTTTATCTTTGCTGCAATCAAACAAAATAAAGTATTAACCTGATGACCCAATGAAATCAACACTAGTCTGGCCTCATGTTTTTTAAATCAAGTCTCTTTTAATCGTTACATGTTGATCTCGAGGTCTTAATGTGAACCATGTGCTTAAAGTTGGCGTATGCCTTTTTACGCATTGTTGGATATTAATAGGTGCTTATTGTCCACTGAGATATTCATTTTACAATTAGTGATTTGATAAAAGCAGAACAAGATATAATCACATTTGCACTTTTTTTAAGCACATGGTCCACTGGTTTATACCTATGTTGTAAATAGTATTTTTTATCTTTGGTAATTCCTTCCCTGGTGTTTTCTTTTATGAATAATTAAACGCAGCCACGTCTGCGTTGTTTTTTGTTTGTTGCTGATTTCAGGGAGTTGATTCCATGGCTTGCACTTTCGCAATAGTGACACTCAGTGGTTTGAACAGAAACAGTCAGTCATTTAACTTTGCACTCTCACAATGTGATGTCAGAGATACTAATAAAATAAAAAAAGTAAATGTATTGCATCAGGGACTTTTGAGTTTAAAAGGTACAGTGTCAAAAGTAATTCAGATTTTCAGGAATGATTTGACCTCAAACGGTATTTCCCCCAAAGCAGACGTTTTAGTTCACGAAAGTAGAAAAAAGGCAGGTGCTGACATGATCTACCATTCTCTGTGTTTTTTTCAAATGTCCCAGAGACGTAGTCCCTCCACTTACAATATAAAACTACTGTGAAAAAAAATGCCTATTCACGCCAAACTTAATAGACATGTGACAGACTTTGAGTTCAAACATGAGGAATGCTATGTTTTGGTATGCATTTCAGAATAACACCTAAAAAAAAACGATTGTCACTTTTCCTGGAAATTACAGCCCTCCTGGAAGGAGAATGTGTCACTTGAATCGTGCAAAGAAAAAAACTGTAGCAGAGTTAATCTTTCAACACTCTCCTCTTTGAAAACACAGAAGTGAGTCCTGTGTATTGGGTAAACATCAGTCTGGCTTAGGTCACTCACCTGACTCACTCTACATGAGCCACCACAAAAGCCAGAGATATACAGCCCATTATAAATGAACATTGAAAAAACGTTTGCTAAATGTTGGATTATTTCTTAAATAACTCTTTGTTTTACTGCTGCCCCGTCTTTTGTCTAACCTACATAATTGCAAAAGTCATACCCCCGCACCCTGTGTGGATCAATACTGGGCATTCATCAATAAATATGTGCTCTCTGGACCCGGGACAGTGAACCTGCTCAACCCCCGCATCAAAAACCTCCTGCACTCTGTTCCTCAGCCCATCACTGCACCTCAGGTATAACTTGGAGTGAGCAAACCACCTAAGGGCTGAACTGTCTGGACACTGGGAGACCTGGGTGTGTGAAGACAGTGAAGGATGGCCGTGTTTTGGAAACCAATGACAGCTGGACTGCTGCTCACAGTTAGCCTCACTCTGCTGGGATGGGGAGTTGAGGGGCAGGGCGGTAAACAAGCAAAGGTATGTTAACACTGGTATGTGTGATTGTTGTTTTAAAATTGTCTAAGGTCTAAATCTTGTGTATTCATTGGCCATATCAAAAAATCAACTTTATTGTCAATCTTCCAGTTTGTGTGGTCAATTCATTCATTCGATTCAACATGAAATCCTATGAATATGGATAAACATGATAACGTAAATGCATTTTGTAGCTTTAATAGAGTCCCTAAATATCTTAATTGTTCCGAACATGTGAAATATATATATTTTCTATTGATTAGAGGTCACACATTCTGTAATTGTTAGATTCATCAGTCACAACGGCAAGTACAAAAAACAATTCAAAAACGTCTTTTAATTCATGCTTTGTTTTATAGGTTGATGAAAGATTGAGAATACAAAACGTGCTTTATAAAAGTCAAAGATTAAAATCAACTCATATGCAATTCAGATTTCAGTTGAAGAGCTGTTTCCTAACCTCATAATACTTTATTTACACTTTGGACTTTGCTCAGATCGTAGGAGGACAAATAAGGGCGCCATCCAAAACATCCGCTGTTTTGGCCCAATTCAAGGATTTTCTTTCTGGTTTGATAATAACCATTGTTTATTAATATACTGTAATTAAGTAACTGCAATATGGTCCTCCTTCACATTGATTTTGGACTACATTACTGCTTGCACTTCCCTTGCTAAACCACTCATTAGCTAATTAAAAACGAAATCCCTCAGTTTAATACGGTTTAAACCATTTGGCCGCCAAGATGAGGACGATAATGATGAACATGAATTGTGCAAGAAAAAGAACTGAACCGTGTTAAATGAATGCCTTGTTGACAATGTGCCTTTTCTAGAAAGTAGTATCAGGCGAGGCTACCGTCTATCTCGGCCAGGACAGAGACATCTGGAGGCCAATAATCCACACCGCGTCAAACCTCAGTGACATCAGCAGGTATGTCAGCAGGAGCTGGAAGGCCTCACATCAACTTCTTGCTGACAATATATGGTGTAGGACGCAAAAGGCTCTTTCATATTAACATCAATGCCGGACCTGTAAGCTGGATCAAATTTTGCAGACGAAAGCCCAGATAGGAATTCTAGTCATGTTGGAAAAGTGTCCTCCTTAATTCTGATAACATAAACCCCTTCATTGTAAAACCTTTGAGCAACTGTAGGCTCCTACTGTATTAGTGATCTTTACCCGTCTGTCAGTGAGCCTTGTCTGGGTAAAATGTAAGGCAAAGTATTGTTGGTCATCTTTTTTTTAATCACCTACAACTCCTTGAATTTAAGACTACTCTGTTCTGTTTCTGCAGTATAAAGTCAACATTCCAGTTACGGACCTTTGACCCGGAAGGTGCCATTTTCTACGGAGATACCAAAAACGGGGACGACTGGTTTGTTTTGGGTTTGAAAGACGGCCTCCCTCTGATGCAGTTCAGCATCGGGGGCAACCATGTCAGTGCGGAAGGCGGCCCCCAGCTCAACGACGGAAAATGGCACAAAGTGAGTTTTGTTTTAATTTGTAGCAAGTGATAAGGATCTAAATAACACAGATCTTAATAATCTGAATGCTTCTTGTGCTCCTGGTTTCTCCCAGCTGGAGGTGAGCAACCAAAAGAATTTCGTGATTCTAGATGTGGACGGCTCCAAAGGGCTGGTGGTGGGCATGGGGGGGTCATCCAAACAGACAGAGGAGGTCCTTACAGGGGAACTCCGACTAGCCCTCGGCGGGATCTTAATCGACAAGGAAAAGATGATGATTCAGGTATAGTGTGTTCATTTACCCTGGAATACTTTGTAGTGGGTGACATTTTTTCTGTCCTGTTATTTTGTAATGATATGGCCTAATTGTCATCAAGATGTGTCAACTACATTATTTTACTTCATACAATACTTTCACAAAATTAACATAAAGTTTTAATAGTTTTGCAATTAAGCTCAGTTAGAGGACCTTGATTTAAAATGACTTGCTCCACTTTTGAATGTCATCACAAAAGGATTTGAAGAGTCTTTAAGGGGGAATTTGTTTTTCATCTTGAAGTACTAACACCTGAAAATTGACTTGCACCACACTGCAACATGACTTAGTGTCAACCGAGTTATCCTTGGTAATAAAACAGACGTAGCACCATTACATCGGTTTATAAATTACAGCGTGTGTTTTTTGTTTGTTTTACTAGTAAGTTGTAACAGTACTGTAAGGGGGTTTTCTGGTGATCTAAGTGCCCTGTAACAGGACTGTGGCAATGCATACTGAGCCACTCACATGTTTGTCTTGCATTTCTCTCCCCTAAATGCAACGTTTTTTGTTATTTGCCGTAGTTTGATCCTAAGATGGACGGCTGTGTGCGTGAAGGCAGCTGGCTGAACCTCAGAGCCCCCTGGGAGGTGGAGGTGGAGGAGCTCTGGCCCTGCTATCAAGACATCATTCCTGGCAGCTTCTTCCCTGGCACTGGATTTGCTGTTTTCAACACCTCAGGTGGAAACATTTGGCTCAATTATACAAGCTATAGACAACATTTGCCCAGATTATAACAAGCTTTCAAACAGGCCAGCATAATGCATTCTTACATAGCATTGCATTAGCAATATACTTTTCACCTGATTTCAAATTTTGCAGTTTTCCCTGTTGAGGACGGGAAGGGGGTCAAGATTGAATTTCGGGGAAATTTCACTTTGATGCATGGGACCATTTTGAGCATCAGGGCTCCTGGGCAAGAGATGATGCTGACTTTAATGGCCAATAATAACACACAGGTATGAACACACATCTGAGATGAACTGAACTTGAGAACACTTCCATCTCTTTACATTTGCAGATATATACATATTTGAGACCACTTTGAATGTATTCACAGAGCTATATTACCTTAACTTTGTTTCTCTTTTTTGAATATGCAGGAGGTCACCCTCACGTTCGGTTCAGAAAAAATCAGTATGAAATCTGATAATCTCAAAAAGCTGGTGATAACCTTTGAAGAAGAGATGCTGCAAGTATTTCAAGTTCGAGACAAATTTCAGGATTTACAAATCAAATCAGTGAGCAACTCAGGTTTTTTGACCACCTGGAGAAACGGTCGTATCGCCTTTGGAGGTCTCTTAGGTAAGGTTAAACAGCAATGACATTTTCAGTCTTGAATAATATCTGAACAGCTTGTCTTTATATCTAAGAGGAATCTGATTTGCAGACAGTGTTTATAGAAAAAAACACACAATAGAAACGTTTATAACCATAAATAACATTGAAGGCACATAAAAATAACAAGTTTGCAATACAAGGTCAACAGTTTTTCTTTTCCACTTTTCAGGTGAGGGTGAAGACAATGTGGGCTCCCAGTTCTTGACAGGCTGCCTTGAGATGATCCAGGTTATGGGCAGGGATTTGGATTTGGATTTTACCGTCAAACATCCATCAATCGTCTCTCACAGCTGCCCTGCATAACAAATGAAAGAACACATGTTCAATATGTGGACTCAGATGCATTTGGCTCGAATTAAAACAAAAAAATACAATTTTTTTAAACTAAAAATTGTCTGGTTACAGTTTTTCCGTATAGGCAAATTTGACATTTGTATTAATAAACTCCTAAAGGGTGGAGAGTTTTCAATAAACTATTAATCTGTTGTTGAAAATATATCTCTCCCACTAGCTACATTTTGAAAAAAATATGATTGTTTTTAATATGGCTATTAAACGACATATTTTAAGGCAAACTGAAGGAAATTGAAACACTGTGATTTAACACTAATTATTAGGATTAGTATTGAGTAATGTATGAGGGAGGCGGAGATTTAGGACATGGATTTTGCTCCCTCTAGTGGACTGTGAAAGATAATGTTAGAGTCAAACCATCCAGAGTGAATTATGCTACTCTTACAATGAAACACCAAAAGGAAAACTATATTGTTTGTCATCCAATAATTGATTTTAGCATATGAACAAATGTCCTGTTGAAAATGAATGCTCTATTGAGTAATTGTATGTACCGCAGACTTTTTTAATTTTGGTATTTAATAATTTGCAAACATCATGGCTTAAATATATTTGTGTTAGAACAATAGGATTGTGTGCATATAAAAATTCAACACACAGGCAAACAAATAATAATCAAGGGCTAGGTTTTTTTGGCAAATCATATTCTTATTTTATGCGAGAAATATTTCCATTGTATTATTTCTTGACTTTAATAGCTTTCATGCTAAGCCTGCTTAGATCAGTGTTTAACATTTCCGACAATGAAATGTTATTAATCACAAAGTAATCATTGTTGTTGTCCATGTATTAGAGAAATAATAATAATAACAATAATAATAATAAAAAGCTTTATTTATAAAGCACATTCTCAAGAATAAAACATTATCAACCAGAAAAGCATCTTTGTTGTAGTCCACGTATTAGAGAAATAATAATAATAATACAAATAATTGAAAAAAAGCTTTATTTTTATAGCACAGTCTCAAGTAAACAAAACATTATAAACTAGTTAATCATCTTTGTTGTAGTCCAAGTCCACGTAGGCAATTAGAGAAATACAAAATAAATAATAACAATTATACATGTTATTTATATAGCACATTTCATACACCATGTGCAGCTCAAAGTGGTTTAATACATTTGGCACACAATACAGAAATGGGTGCGGTGCGGTCCAGTCGGGTCCAGTCCTATGGATTGCAGTCAGATTGCAGTCAGTTATCTACCCGCTGCCACCGGCTGCCACACACCGTTAGCAACTGCCGCAAACCGCTACTGTCGTGAATACTGGCCGCCCACTGAAGATGGCGGCGGAGCTGCATCCGCGGAGCGGAAAGCTAATCGGCCTGTCCAACTCGAACCGAACCGCCCGGCGCAACCAGCCAGTCCAGGAGTTCAACCATGGGCTGGTGCTTAGTAAGGAGCCGCTGAAGGACCGGGATGTCTTCACCGTCCGCATTGACAAGAAGGTAAACAACAACAGGCCCGCCGCTGCTGCGCCTCCTCAGCGGGGAGGAGAGCAGCGGGAATGCGGGAGCAGCGCCTGCGGGACGGGCCGGGGGTCTGCCTCTGTCCGCAGTGACAACCAGGGGGGTTTACGCTGCTTGACAGCGACCAAGGTTGCTGCAATTATTCAGGGTCATATTACAAATACTGTCAGAGATTTAGCTGGGACACATGGACTTAAAAACACTATGTGTGGACATTTTAAACGGATGACTTGGCTAACGATACCCTGCTTGTGTTGCCTTGGTACCGACAGTTAGCCATGCTAATGAGCCGCTAGCCGGAGCAAGCGGTGCGAGCTCAGGCTAGCTGGGGTTAGCTTATCTGGAAGGTGCCATTGGAGCACTGTTGTGTGTTGACATGGACTTCATGTTGTTTATTGCACGACGGGAGCTTGACTAAGCTTGTTAACGTAGCTCTGCTTGGTTCTGTCGGTGACAGTCGTAGGTGCCTGTCAGCCTCTCTTCCTTTCTGGCTCGGTGGCTAATAATACTGCAGTGCTCATACCAGGTTGAGCTAGTGACTCAAATGCTATGTGTGAACCTAAATAGACAACAATGCGGACAATTAGCCGCTGATATTAGTTACCATAGTTGTCATTATATGATATTCAGGGACGTGTTACTATTACACATATCTTGGTCCAGATATAAAGCATATTCAGACCATGATTCAGACCCTACCAACCTGCTCCTGCAGCCCCGCTGGTGTATAATGCATGAGGAGTTAGAACACTTATAGGTATACATCCTAAAATAAACCACTTTCTCTTTTATTGCAAGGACATTTGCTCTCATTTAACCTATTTGTAACTCAGTGACAATTTCAAGACATTTTACATAAAAAATCAACAAATTATAGGAACAATTTGATTTATTTCTGTTATCTTTATGTCCAGTGTCCTTTCCTAAGTTTCCTAAGAAGTTCCTCACATGTTCTTGGAAAGGTCTCCCTTTTGTTACACGGAATGCATCAGTTTTTATTGATTGCATTTTTGCTGGCAGCCAGTTTATCATAGTGCCGATGGCTCTCTATAGCTTAATTGATTATTTTAGAAAGATACATTATCATGCTGAAACTCATAACATAAAGTATAACAATATTATCCTCAAAATGTCGTTTATCTTTTCCCATGACTACTGTTCAGTATGAATACTTGCATATTTAATTTGAGTTGTGTGAAAGAGCAAATGTAATTCTTCCTTACGTACGTTTCCCTGAGTTTTTAATCTTTCAACATAAATGCTTATCAACGACTCAGACCTCTCCATATCACATCAAGGCTTTTCCACAGTGTTTACATTCTGGCTCTTATCAGCGTAGTTTGGTATAATGGCTTCTGCCTCTGCAGTCTTCCACCCTTCTGAGTTTGTCAACAACATGTCCGCTCCAGAGTTAGTGCCAACTGGGCCACACACACCCTCAGAATGACATAGTTGGGTTGTTTGGAAAATCTGCCGTGATAAGACACAGCAGCATGTGAGACAGTGAGGCTGAACATGTGTTTTAATAGCACCCACTGTATGTGAACGTCAATGATTATCCATCCCTTATGGTGCTCTCAGCCCTGATGAGGGCTCTCATAAGCAGCCTCATGCTCTGATATGACATGCATTGTCTGTCTGAAAATCAATACTCTTCCATCACGGAGCTCCCAGATGGGCATGACTGGCCATCCTGTCTACTGATGTCCACAGTGGGTTTTGGAAAACGAGTGCAGGAGGAAACAAATGAAGCTATTCATTGGACTGTTTTACCCAGAGTAGGACGCTGTCAGTGCTTCAGAGTTTGTATGTGAAGCTTTGATCTAAATAAATCCAGAGGAATATCACATACTGTGCGTGTAGACTAGTGTTGGTTTTAAAATCAAAATGCCCTAAACTTTAGCTTGTATCAGTATGCTATTGGTCAGCCTATAAGAGCTGATTTAATCAATAATTATATTACTACTACTACTACTACTACTACTACTACTACTATTTCTACTTCAAACTACACTCTATCTTCAGTTACTGTCTAAATCTTATGATAGTAAAAGGAACATATTGGAGTTTAGGACAGATGTTTGGGTACAAAATAAACAGCTAGATTTATTGTTGATGATAACAACTGTCACTTGCAGTGCCATAGCAAACATTACCCTTAGAATGCAACTTGTATCATATTATTCTGTTATCAGTAGAGCAGAGCGATAAGTTGATTGGAGGAAAAATAATGGCCAACATGAAATAATCAATAATTGTTTCATTTGTCTTAAATGCTTGTGTTGTTTTCAGACCATAACATATATAGAAATGTCCTGCATGTCTCTGTTTTGCATTAAATTAAAGCAAAACGGGACATGTAAAGACCAATAATTAGTTATTAGTTTTGTTTTGCAATATCATACCCACTATTGAAATGCTTTTATACAGTATATCATGGACTTAGGATGTTACTTATAATGTTGTCTCAATTTGTTTACAAGGTCTGTTGGATGAGAAGCATTTCCTATTAGTCCTTGCAGTGTCTCGCAGGCTCTGCTATTGATGCAATTAATTTTTCATTCTTTTTGGAAGCTGCCCAGTAGCCCTACTCTGCATGTATCCTGTAGTTATAGGTCTTTAGAACAGACAGGGAGAGAGAAGGCTGGGAGGCAGACGCCCACAGGCTTCTGTTACGTAAGAGATGAGCAAAGGAAGTAGATGTCTGTCTCCTCCACACACTGGCCCGGTCAGGCTGAGTTACTACTATATCTGTTAACCCAGATACCCAAGCTTTCGTAGCACACTGCCTTACATCGCACCCGCCACAGAGCGCAGGAGGACACCATGGGAGCACACGAAGGAGAGGAGGCTGTGTAAAAGACAATATATTGAATATGACACCGTCACGGAGTCAATCTTTGTTTGTTATCTCCTCGGTGCGGAGGTGAGCTGCAGAAAAAGAATCCCAGGAGCTAATCGGGGATTTCAATGTTATGCTCAAGGTCACTTTATCAGGGAGCTTGATTCCCGCGGAGTACCAGGGGGGGGGAGGAAAGGAAAACGTAGAGGGAAGTGAGATTGATAACAACAATTCCGGGGACTTGATTCTTTTTTCTTGAGGAACAAACCGCATGGCTTTTTGTGGGAGGCTGTTCTCCGGGGGGGCAGCAGGTGGAGTGCAGCGAGCCAGGAGATCACTCCTCAGTGGGATGACGTGGGGTTCGTGCCCCTGTGTCGGCGAGCATCTGCCAGGCTGAATTATCTCGAAGCAACACTCCGAATCTCCGCCAGCTGCACTGACTCGGCACTACTTGCTGACACGGCACTCCTGTCATCCACAATGAAAAATAGAATTCACCCCCGGAGATCAATAAAGTATCGCATTATTGTGAGCTGATGTGGAGTCTTCTGTTTCTGCTGGGAAGATATGGATATCTTCTGCAGCCTGTTATGCGATATGATTCCAAAGTCATGCAGAGACGAAGGTAGCTCCGAGGTGAAACGGCTCTTCTTTTCATATATTGAATCTTTGGGAGGACAATCGTGAAGGGGAAGCTTTCTTGTTGATTGTGACTTGCTTTGT